AGATCAAAGACCACAGCCTTCAGTATGGATTGCACCTCAACACAAAGAAAACAAAAATCCTCACAACTGGAGAAAAGATTGAAGTTGTCAAGGATTTCATTTTACTTGGATCCACAGTGAATGACCATGGAAGCAGCAGTCAAGAAATCAAAAGACGCACTGCAATGGGTAAATCTGCTGCAAAAGACTTCTTTCAAAATCAAAGATGTCACCTTGAAGACTAAGGTGCGCCTGACTCAAGCCATGGTGTTTTCAGTCACCTCATGTGCATGTGAAAGCTGGATGATGAGTAAGGAGGACTGAAGAAGAATTGATGTCTTTGAACTGTGGTGTGGGCGAAGAATATTGAATATAACATAGACTGTCAGAAGAACAAAAAAAAATCTGTCTTGGAAGAAATACAGCCAGAATGTTCCTTAGAAGCAAAGATGACAAGACTTCATCTCACATACTTTGGACATGTTATCAGGAGGGACCGGTCCCTGGAGAAGGACAACATGCTTGGTAGAGTAGAGGGTCATCGAAAAAGAGGAAGGCCCTCAATGAGATGGATTGACACAGGGCTGCAACAATGGGCTTAGGCATAACAATGATTGTGAGGATGGCGCAGGACCAGGCACTGTTTCTTTCTGTTGTACATAGGGTCGCTATGAGTCGGAACTGACTCGATGGCACCCAACAACAAGAGCAACATGGATTGAATTTGTCTCCCCAAAGCAAATGTTGAAATTCTAACCCCTGTTCCTGTGAATGTGACTCTGCTTGGAAATAAGGAGTTTTCCTTTCTTATGTTAATGAGGTCATACCAGAGTGGGGTGGGTCCTAATCCCTTCTGAGTGATGTCTTATGCAAAGGGGAAAAAGACACAGACACTCATGAGGGACGAGGCCATGGGAGGCCCGTGTAGAAGCTAAGGAACGCTGGGGGCTACCAACAAGGATAGACCTCCCCTAGGGCCAGTGCCCTGATACTGACTTCTAGCCTCCAAAACTATGGGACAATAAATTTCCATTGTTAAAACCCACCCACTTGTTATATTTCTGTTACAACAGCTCTAGGTAACTAAGTGATGTGGTATTTCTCAATGTTACTTTACAAAACACCTAGAGCAACATTTCAAAAATTTCAAACTCAAGCAGGTGAAATGTTGTTGTTTTCCTACCTGCAAAATGACTGCAGTTACCTAAAATCAGCAACAAAAAACTTTAAAGACTCTGAAAAACCATTACTTGTTAAGACACCAGTTCTGAACAAGGAGAACCCTGCTTTCATAGCTATGGGCTATGTGGTCAGATGGGTCTGTCTAAATTCTAAAGCTGTCTCTTTCTAAATGGGGGATTTGGGGTAAGTTTCTGCTCTCTCCAAGCTAGCCTCCCTTCCTTTTTTATTCCAACCATACTCAGTGAGGATCGGATGGAATGGCATGTGGAGCTGTGTGAGATCTGTAGCCAGTGACAACCTCTCAATGCCT